GTCATGCGATGACTTAAGGTCATTTGTGGGCTATGTCGAAAATACACTTGCACAGCAGTTTTCGAGTAGATGGATTGACCGAATTCCGAATCAAAGCACATCATCGGGTAGCCCATAGGCCGTAGTAACTTTCCTTGAAAACCGCTTTTCGATATGTGACCCCGTTTGACCTCGGCAGGTCAAAATGTGCAAATAAACGACACTCAATACGTCTCAGCCCGGATTCAGCCCAGATTCGGGACACCTCCGATCAAGCTGAAACTCGCACACAATGTAGGCCATGACATGCCCAATCCACAGTCCGAGTCATTCGGTGGCACTCCCAGCCGTTTGACCTACAGAGGTCAGCAAAGGTCAAGTGGCCCAAATTTGCACAGCAGATTTGGCCCACTGGCCCACCCAGTAGAGCTAGAGCGCTAAAAATGGCACCAATCGACTCGCCAGCATCTAATCTTACTTTCCCAACACTCATTTGACCTCTCAAGGTCATGCGATGACCTAAGGTCATTTGTGGGCTATGTCGAAAATACACTTGCACAGCAGTTTTCGAGTAGATGGATTGACCGAATTCCGAATCAAAGCACATCATCGGGTAGCCCATAGGCCGTAGTAACTTTCCTTGAAAACCGCTTTTCGATATGTGACCCCGTTTGACCTCGGCAGGTCAAAATGTGCAAATAAACGACACTCAATACGTCGCAGCCCGGATTCAGCCCAGATTCGGGACACCTCCGATCAAGCTGAAACTCGCACACAATGTAGGCCATGACATGCCCAATCCACAGTCCAAGTCATTCGGTGGCACTCCCAGCCGTTTGACCTACAGAGGTCAGCAAAGGTCACGTGGCCCAAATTTGCACGGCAGATTGTGGCCCACCCAGTAGAGCTAGAGCGCTAAAAATGGCACCAATCGACTCGCCAGCATCTAATCTTACTTTCCCAACACTCATTTGACCTGTCAAGGTCATGCGATGACCTAAGGTCATTTGTGGGCTATGTCGAAAATACACTTGCACAGCAGTTTTCGAGTAGATGGATTGACCGAATTATAGTATTGAGTGTCGTTTATTTGCACATTTTGACCTGCCGAGCCCCGAGGTCAAACGGGGTCACATATCGAAAAGCGGTTTTCAAGGAAAGTTACTACGGCCTATGGGCCGTGACACCCAGTAGAGCTAGAGTTGCTGGCGAGTCGATTGGTGCCATTTTTAGCGCTCTAGCTCTACTGGGTGGGCCACAATCTGCTGTGCAAATTTGGGCCACGTGACCTTTGCTGACCTCTGTAGGTCAAACGGCTGGGAGTGCCACCGAATGACTTGGACTGTGGATTGGGCATGTCATGGCCTACATTGTGTGCGAGTTTCAGCTTGATCGGAGGTGTCCCGAATCTGGGCTGAATCCGGGCTGCGACGTATTGAGTGTCAATTATTTGCACATTTTGACCTGCCGAGGTCAAACGGGGTCACATATCGAAAAGCGGTTTTCAAGGAAAGTTACTACGGCCTATGGGCTATTTTTTATGGCCTATTTTGACCTGCCGATGATGTGCTTTGATTCGGAATTCGGTCAATCCATCTACTCGAAAACTGCTGTGCAAGTGTATTTTCGACATAGCCCACAAATGACCTTAGGTCATCGCATGACCTTGAGAGGTCAAATGAGTGTTGGGAAAGTAATATTAGATGCTGGCGAGTCGATTGGTGCCATTTTTAGCGCTCTAGCTCTACTGGGTGGGCCACAATCTGCTGTGCAAATTTGGGCCACGTGACCTTTGCTGACCTCTGTAGGTCAAACGGCTGGGAGTGCCACCGAATGACTTGGACTGTGGATTGGGCATGTCATGGCCTACATTGTGTGCGAGTTTCAGCTTGATCGGAGGTGTCCCGAATCTGGGCTGAATCCGGGCTGCGACGTATTGAGTGTCGTTTATTTGCACATTTTGACCTGCCGAGGTCAAACGGGGTCTTTGATTTGGAATTCGGTCAATCCATCGACTCGAAAACTGCTGTGCAAGTGTATTTTCGACATAGCCCACAAATGACCTTAGGTCATCGCATGACCTTGAGAGGTCAAATGAGTGTTGGGAAAGTAAGATTAGATGCTGGCGAGTCGATTGGTGCCATTTTTAGCGCTCTAGCTCTACTGGGTAGGCCACAATCTGCTGTGCAAATTTGGGCCACGTGACCTTTGCTGACCTCTGTAGGTCAAACGGCTGGGAGTGCCACCGAATGACTTGGACTGTGGATTGGGCATGTCATGGCCTACATTGTGTGCGAGTTTCAGCTTGATCGGAGGTGTCCCGAATCTGGGTTGAATCCGGGCTGCGACGTATTGAGTGTCGTTTATTTGCACATTTTGACCTGCCGAGGTCAAACGGGGTCACATATCGAAAAGCGGTTTTCAAGGAAAGTTACTACGGCCTATGGGCTACCCGATGATGTGCTTTGATTTGGAATTCGGTCAATCCATCTACTCGAAAACTGCTGTGCAAGTGTATTTTCGACATAGCCCACAAATGACCTTAGGTCATCGCATGACCTTGAGAGGTCAAATGAGTGTTGGGAAAGTAAGATTAGATGCTGGCGAGTCGATTGGTGCCATTTTTAGCGCTCTAGCTCTACTGGGTGGGCCACAATCTGCTGTGCAAATTTGGGCCACGTGACCTTTGCTGACCTCTGTAGGTCAAACGGCTGGGAGTGCCACCGAATGACTTGGACTGTGGATTGGGCATGTCATGGCCTACATTGTGCATTGTGTGCGAGTTTCAGCTTGATCGGAGGTGTCCCGAATCTGGGCTGAATCCGGGCTGCGACGTATTGAGTGTCGTTTATTTGCACATTTTGACCTGCCGAGGTCAAACGGGGTCACATATCGAAAAGCGGTTTTCAAGGAAAGTTACTACGGCCTATGGGCTACCCGATGATGTGCTTTGATTTGGAATTCGGTCAATCCATCTACTCGAAAACTGCTGTGCAAGTGTATTTTCGACATAGCCCACAAATGACCTTAGGTCATCGCATGACCTTGAGAGGTCAAATGAGTGTTGGGAAAGTAATATTAGATGCTGGCGAGTCGATTGGTGCCATTTTTAGCGCTCTAGCTCTACTGGGTGGGCCACAATCTGCTGTGCAAATTTGGGCCACGTGACCTTTGCTGACCTCTGTAGGTCAAACGGCTGGGAGTGCCACCGAATGACTTGGACTGTGGATTGGGCATGTCATGGCCTACATTGTGTGCGAGTTTCAGCTTGATCGGAGGTGTCCCGAATCTGGGCTGAATCCGGGCTGCGACGTATTGAGTGTCAATTATTTGCACATTTTGACCTGCCGAGGTCAAACGGGGTCACATATCGAAAAGCGGTTTTCAAGGAAAGTTACTACGGCCTATGGGCTACCCGATGATGTGCTTTGATTTGGAATTCGGTCAATCCATCGACTCGAAAACTGCTGTGCAAGTGTATTTTCGACATAGCCCACAAATGACCTTAGGTCATCGCATGACCTTGAGAGGTCAAATGAGTGTTGGGAAAGTAAGATTAGATGCTGGCGAGTCGATTGGTGCCATTTTTAGCGCTCTAGCTCTACTGGGTAGGCCACAATCTGCTGTGCAAATTTGGGCCACGTGACCTTTGCTGACCTCTGTAGGTCAAACGGCTGGGAGTGCCACCGAATGACTTGGACTGTGGATTGGGCATGTCATGGCCTACATTGTGTGCGAGTTTCAGCTTGATCGGAGGTGTCCCGAATCTGGGTTGAATCCGGGCTGCGACGTATTGAGTGTCGTTTATTTGCACATTTTGACCTGCCGAGGTCAAACGGGGTCACATATCGAAAAGCGGTTTTCAAGGAAAGTTACTACGGCCTATGGGCTACCCGATGATGTGCTTTGATTTGGAATTCGGTCAATCCATCTACTCGAAAACTGCTGTGCAAGTGTATTTTCGACATAGCCCACAAATGACCTTAGGTCATCGCATGACCTTGAGAGGTCAAATGAGTGTTGGGAAAGTAAGATTAGATGCTGGCGAGTCGATTGGTGCCATTTTTAGCGCTCTAGCTCTACTGGGTGGGCCACAATCTGCTGTGCAAATTTGGGCCACGTGACCTTTGCTGACCTCTGTAGGTCAAACGGCTGGGAGTGCCACCGAATGACTTGGACTGTGGATTGGGCATGTCATGGCCTACATTGTGTGCGAGTTTCAGCTTTATCGGAGGTGTCCCGAATCTGGGCTGAATCCGGGCTGAATCTGGGCTGAATATGGGCTGTCTTGACGGACATCCGTGCTGGGCCGCTGGCCGTCTGTGGGTGCTCGTCAGGCATTAGCGGCTGGTTTCAGGTTCACGTGTGCTGTTTCTGGGTGTCAAACTCGTGTCTGTTGACTCATGTGTGTATGAGGCACATTTGCACTGTGTTTTTTTTTGTATGTTCTTAGGTTCATGAGAAGGTAGATACTGACTGGGGGGGTGCTGTGATCGTTTATAACTGTATAACTGGCTGGGCAGTAGGCTCGTGCACACTGTGGGTGCTTCCTAGCTTAATTTACACTGTTTTTGGGAGTTTCCCAGACCCGTGATCGGTTCGAGTTGATGATAATATTCGCACCTATTTACACTGTTTCTGGTTGTTTTCCTAGCCCGTGGGCGGTTCGAGGTGCAGTGTGCACACTGTTTGTACGCTGGTTGTGAGTTTTACACTGTAAATACACTGTTTCTGAGTGTTTTCCAGGCCCGTGTGCGGTTCGAGGTGGTGTAAATGGTAAATACACCGTCTTTGGGTGTTTCCCGCAGGCCCGTGTGCGGTTTGAGGTGGTTTTTACTGTTTTTACGCTGTTTATATGTGTTTCCTGCAGGCCCGTGTGCGGTTCGAGGTGGTATGCATTGTTGATACACCGTTTATGGATGTTCCCCGCATTGGCCCGTGTTCGGTTCGAGGTGGTGTGCATTGAATACACCGTTTATGGGTGTTTCTGCAGGCCCGTGTGCGGTTCGAGGTTGTGTACCGGTGGCCCGGCGAGGCGTCTCTCGTCTCGTGGCCCTCGATGACGGCCACAGTCGAGGACGACCAGCAGATGCTCGTCGACATCGAGCAGAACATCGCCAACCTGGAGCGCTCCTTCTGCGACCGGTCCTCCTTCGGCGGTTCACCGACACTGGGCAACGCCGCCGACCCCGCCAGCCCCACACCGTCGCGGAAAAGGTAGGGCGGCACCTCACTGACCCGGCTGGTCTCAAGCCATAGGTTGTCTCCGTAGACATGTCAGACCCCGCGCCCTCCCGGGAAAGGCATATGTTCAGTGTTAACCGTGATCAACACTGACTGGTATGCGTACTCATACGTTGTGTGTACGTACACGCATATACACATCACATCTGCATACTAAACACATCACAAGTTCGATTCATTAGAAGCACGACAGCCGATAATGTTAATCGTCCACTCATCTCGCATTCAAATAGCTGCGCTCATAGCATCCTGTTGTAAACTCACAGCATTCAGTAGCATAGCGGGATGTCCCTCAAATTAATTCCACCTCACGACGCGGCGTGGTGTTCCCTGCTTACTATATCATTGCTACCCTCATGCATTTAGTTTGCATATTTTGCCGGCCTGCATTCCCATACGCCCTGCATTGTGTTTATGTGGTATGAAGTGCCCAACATTGTTCCACATAGTACGGTCAGTGTGGCTCAAACACGCAACTATTGACTCGTGGTAACCTGTATCGCCATTGTCAGGTTTGGAATTTCAAAAGAATCATTTATCCAACTTCGGCAAGGTATTGGAGTACTTGTAACGTAATGTGATTTGTTGTAACTTGCCCTTATGTCACTCGCTTAGGATGGATAAATACTCTATTTGATGTGCGCTGCTCGAGAACTTTCTCCGACATCAAAATCGATCCTCGAGCCTTACGAAACCTCATCTGACCTCCCGGTGACCTTCCTCAGGGCACACATGGCGATGCGGCGGGTCAAGTCTCTGATGCGACTGGGCAGACGGCGTACCAGTATTGAGGACGAACTGCTGCCGCGCGGTGACGGGGGCGAGCTGAGCGGGGCGGGCTCCCAGCAGAGTCTGACCGAACTGCCGCCCCGACCGGCCAGCGTCTGCTCACAGGCGTCCGATGATAGCACCATGTCGGCGACGGCAGCCACCGCGCGCGTCAGAAGGTCAGTTCAGTGGTGGGGTCAGGAGGTCAGTTCAGTGTCTGGGTCAGGAGGTCAGTTGATTGGTGGGTCAGGTCAGTTCACTGCTATCCAGCGGGTCAGGAGGTCAGTTCAGTGTCTTAGTTATGTCAATACCCCACCCGTGTCAAAAGGTCAACTCTATGTTAGGCCAGTCGTCCAAAGGGGAGGTCAGAAGGCTAGTCTTTTGTGAGCGCTAGGTCAGTCCACCACCCAGGTCAGATTAGGTCAGTCTACTGCTCGGGATAAGGTCAGTCCTCCGCCATAGAGTACATCTGGTCATGATGCCGGTCACGAGGCCAGGTCAAAGAACAGGACCCGAGAGGCTGCGGTAATGCTATACTGAACAGAGAGTTGAGTCAAAGGTTTGTTCACCGAGACGCCAGGGAATAAACTGCGACTGTTTCGACAAGCCCCTTGATTGTTCGATTGAAGGTGTTGTACCATTTACATAGTTATTTTTGGAAACAATTCTACAATTGAAAATGTCAAGAACAGAAACAATGAAAATTGAAACTATCATGCCTCTGAATGTGAATGGCTATTTGCATGCTAACACATTCAAAAGACCTCAGAACATTCTAGATCTCAGAACATTCTAGTTAGCAGCTACAGCCTACAGGCATCCGATTGTCAATACTCTATTCGCTATTCTTTCCTTAGAACATTTCGTCTAGCCCACCACGACTCTATCCATAATTTAGATAGCTCTATTTGCTGTACGGATTTGTACCTTTCTCGGACAAGACGTTCGGCCCAACTGCGCCATTCTGGACCTCTGCCTGGCGTGCCGTTTGCCTTCGAAACATGTTTCCAGAATTGAATCCACTGTCCGGCCTTATCGGGCGGACCATTCCGTGTAGCAGCACACCCACGCTACTTCAGTTCACTAGTAGAACACGTGTGTCTACCAATGGGGACATGTAGCCCACATGGGCGTCTACCAACATGATATGTGTCTCCAACATCGGGACATGGAGACATGATACGTGTGTCAAACATCGGGACACTTGTGTCCAACGTCGGGATACGTGTGTCGAAATCGGGACGCTGCGTCTATTGGAGGGCTGCGTGTGTCCACCATTGACGCATAGGTGATTTCACCGCCAGTGTCCATCGCGGGACATTTGTGCCTCTGGAGCAGTCTTCTCCCACAACATATGGCAAAACTGCAGCTTAGCTTAGTAATGATAGATCTACTCCACTGTATTTATTATTTAACCTCATTTCGCGCTTCATGATGGCAGCATTCTAGTTGATTTATGAATGCTGCAAGCATTCATTCGCCACCCTGCAAACACGCCAATCCATAGCGTAAAAACACAGATTAGTAACACCATCATTGAAATTATTGCGACTGTTGCGGAATGTATTCATTTTCCACAAAGAACGGGATGAACAAAATTTATGGCGTAAAAAAAAATAAAATCAGAAGCTGCTTAGTAAATTGGTTCAATTTAAACCTCACGAATCAGTGCCTGCTGCCTCCCACGTCGGAGCGCGATATTTATTGTTCCATCAACTTGTCGACTTATGTAAGATTCTCGCCGTTAGTTATCAGACTCCACAATTGCCTCAATCGCTCAGCCGATTGACTCGCTGTACTGCGGTTCGCCGCCGGCGGCTGGCGCTCCGTCAAATCGGAACACCGCCGCGGCGCCCGGCCGCGCGACTGCTATAGCGAGGTGCTCCGTGCCATAAATTCCATGGGACGTGAGCGCACGGCTGGTATGGCACCCAGTGTAGAGCGCTTAATGTCAACGAATCGCGATTTATATTCTGTTCGAGGCTGGCGGTTGGCACGATAACTCTGTAAATTTCGTGATGAAGAACAACAGCTTGCTTCGAGTCGGCTGAGGCCCGACCGAGCAGTTTGTATTCATTAGCCTGTCAGAGTTGGGCTACACTAGGCGACGTAATCATTGGATAATCGAAATGGCCTTTACAATGAAAGGTAAATAAAATCGGACAAGTTTGCTGAGGGATTCAACAAAAGCCATTTTGACATGTTGTGTGAGGTTCAGCACGGGTTATACATAAAACAAGCGTGAATTTCAGAACATCTTGACATACCATTTAAGTGCGCTTAACTTTTGCTGAACTATTCACCATGTCGAAAATACTGAATTTATGTAAAGAGACCTTTTTAATTCTGCTATCGAAAACAGATCTTGCATCTACTCACAGTAATGGGCTCAGTTTATCAATGCCGACAAACTTTACTCTGGTACGGTCGTCAAGCATTTTAGAGAAAAACTTCGTTAGAGTATGGTGGAGCTATTTGCATGGTTGAAGATTGAAGTTTGACATAAGAATAGCGAAAACAAATGAAGACATAAACTTCATAATTTCTCATCCAAACCATTTCATTTCATTTCATTCAAGCAAACCATTTCATTCATCCAAACCATCCATCCATTTCTCATCCAAACTCTTGGCCTTCTTGGATCTATAATGCAGAGATAGCCGCCGTTTCACGGACACTCCCTAGCTGTCTGGCGTACTAAGGAAGCGAACTCTGCGTCGTTAGGCTTAGTAACGCCGTGTGGCTGGGTCCACTGGTAGAGTGCTGATAGGAGTGGGGCTCATTAGGGGCCTGTTGGAGGTGGTCTGTGAAAGGAGTCTAACAGGTCAGAGTGGTCCGTGGGAGTGGTCTGTAGAGGCGAGAGTGGTCTGTGGTATTGTTCCAAGAAAGTAGTCTGCGAGATGAGGTCTATGGCGGTGGTCTACAATGGCCTGATGCATGCCAATGCCGACAAATGCTTTCTTTTTCTTTTCGTTTTGCATGTAACTTGAGTCTTTTGATTTTAAGTCACTGATACAGATCAGTTTCTCGTAACTAACTCATCAGTGATCGCGTAGTGCATCCACAAATCGCCACTTCGGTCAGTGACGCTCGGTGTTTTTTTATTATTTAATAATTGAGACGCACGAACGTAAAATAGGATGTGCTCAAATTTACAGTTGAACAGCGTCCAACACTCCCAACAAATTTCACTTACAAGTTTAAGTTGACACAAACTATGCTAATTAGCACTTGTGCTAATCTGCGGCCAGATCGCTTCACCAATCTGACCTTTGGCTGTCGATTGATGGCCACATTTGGCCATCAGTATTCCCTGCAAGCGGACGCGACGCTACTAAACTTTTTATTAGTCGCCACCAATCGTCATTTGGTGGTGGGGCGCTGGGGGAGCTGGATGGCTGAAATAGAGGCTCCCGAGCCGGACCGGACGGGGCGGACGGGCCTGCAGGGGAGGTGATCGGGTCACTGCAGGACAGTGATGTGATCGGGGGATATATGATATCCCGACAGGTGACATGACATGCTCAGACCTGACCCGACAGCTAACCAAACCTACACAGGCCCGACCCGACGCGTCCGGACCCGGACCCGACCCGATCAGGCCACACCACTGACCCCACCCCACCGCGACCCGACAACACGACCGGACTCGATCAGCTTCGCCAATAGCGCTCGGCAAGGGCGGGGCGGGTCAAATAACATGGACAGTCACGGTAGACCGCGCTCTATAACGTCCCCTGATGACGGAGCGACCGACCGGTGTCGGCCACCCGCTGGTGATCAATCACCAGACATTGCCCTAATGGTGATAGCCTGGTGTTGCCAGCAGGCACCAGCCGGCACCAGCAGTTGCCCGCAATAATCCAATTATGTGTATGTATTTTGGGAGCAGGGTGGCTGTTACATACAGACGGTGCTGTATATAGGCACTCACATGAGCTGATGCCGTGAGCCTTATCTCAGTAATTTGTGACGCCAGGAGATTCTGAATTGATGGGAAGGTATGAGCCGTGTCCTTTCTCGCTTGGACCTGAGTTTGGCAACACCATTGTGCGGCACTGGTCAATAGCTTCTTCCGCAACCTTTGGCATTCCGTCTGACAAAAGGGTAAACGAATCAATTGAAGGCTGTCTTTGTGTCAGAGGCGCCACTCAGACAAGAGGCTACTTGTCTCCCTGTCATGCTGAGCTGTTTGTGACCTGTGTGACCTGCGCAGACGGAGAGGCAGTCTGATGCGTCCGCCGGCCACACTGACCTGTGTATATGACCTCTGTGTTCGTGACCTAGACCCCACAGACGCCGTGACACGCTGATGCGTCCCCCGGCCACGCTGATCTGTCTGTGACCAATGTGACCTATGTGTTACCTGCGTGTGACCTGTGTGTGACCTCTGTGACCCCACAGACGGCGTGACACGCTGATGCGTCCGCCGGCCACGCTGCGCGCCGAAGACTACCAGGTGTGTGTGACAGTGATCGAAGCCCGCCAGCTGGCCGGCCTCAACATGGACCCGGTGGTGTGTGTGCAGGTCGGGGAACAGAAGAAGTACACCTCGGTCAAAGAGAGCACCAACTGTCCATACTATAATGAGGTGAGTACGACTGAGCTCGGCAAAAGCGGAAGGGTCAGCCGCGTTGTAACTGTGTTTTTTCAACCTCCACTGTATTGGGAAGTGAATATTGCGCTACCAAAAGATTTGCCCTTGTCAATGGAATATACCTAATTAAAGATTATAATATTTTTTTTAATCATAGCAACAGCTATGAAAACTGACAGCTAACCATTGAAAACTGAAGCATCCCGTTTGTTTGTTTCAGTATTTTGTCTTCGACTTCCATATGGCGCCTACCATGCTGTTCGACAAGATCATCACACTCACAGTGAGTACCCAGTATAGAGGCGATATTGTGATTCCGCCTCAGATCTGCATTCCGTGCAATGAGTTCTCTGAACTGGATTATTGGTCTGTCAGGCTCGGTTCGAGCTTCTGTCACGTGGTGGACGTGCATGCCTTCGGTGATTTTGGTCTGTTGATTAAGTGGTCCGCAGACTTGACATTATCTTAATTGAAGTCGTTGTCGCAAGGAAATTGAAGGATTGCTGGGATTAAACCAATTCCGTAGGAATATCTTTTAAACTTGCGCTTGGGCGGAGGATGAATGATGTTTATGTATTTGAAACTGAATCACATCAGTCAAAAGCTCTTGGAAGAGTCAATGACATCCTTTTCAGCAATGTGTCTCAGGAACGGCCGTTTGTAACTGTTAACCCTTTCTCGTACTTTCATTTTCAGGTTCTTCAATCGCGCAATATACTTCGTGCCAATAAGGTTCTCGGGAGCTTTAAGCTGGACATTGCAACGGTCTGGGCGCAGACAGGTAAGTAAGATAGATCTTCGAACTGACGTCATAGGCACACTGGCTCGGGTGTATTTGTGTATCTGAAATTTATACCGGTTTACATACAATATACCTACATACCACAGCTGGTGCCTGAATTTTTTATATTCTTGAATGAAACTAATTTTTAATCAGAATAGGTGCTCAAGGCATGAACGTGCTTCCTGATGTTCTTATTTCGACTGTTTGAAATAGAATGACCGACGAAGCGAATCTGCCGCGCTAAGCAGAACGTGGTTAGCAGCGCCTGATGTGGATGGGTCTGAATGACTGCATTCTATTCACGAAGAAGGATCCTTCACACAAAGATGTCAAGATTACTTTTTCATTTTCGTATAGTTGTATACGATTCGACGCGCCGCCAAGAAAATACAGTGTTTGACGTCCATCGCTTGGCGTCTTTGCCAGCAGCCAGCGACACAATCTGCGTCGCTCCGACTCACGCTTAACTGTTGGTCGCCAACTATTCTGCTTGTTGTGGCGCTGGCTGGAAGCATCTTTTCTGCCCTTGGTTTTCATTTGTTCATTCTTTACTACATAAATAGAATGACTATGTGTTCGTCTTACATAAGTCAGCAGTATCATGATATCTAAGTTTATCCTACGACGTCATTGCTGAAACGATATCCCGCAATCGCCAAACGCTGCCTAATCTAGGCGTTCCTTTCATCTCGCTCTGTAAAGGACCTATCGAAACAGCGACCCAATCAGGCCGGGAGCTAGCCATTCTGGCGGGCCGGTGCTGCGCCAATTGGAGCGCTCTCGGCGGGCGGCCCGGGGCGCAGAGCGGTCCATGAAGGGCCATTTGGCCCGCTCTCCGGCGGCTGAGGCTCGTGTTCTGCCGCTGGCCAGACCAGCAGTCCAGGGGGCAATCGATACCACCCAGAGGTAGATCGGCGGCCGGTGCTCCGCGCGAATTACACCCGTGATCAAAGATGCATTCTGGAGACGGTGGAGCGGGCGCAGTGGCTCTGAGTCGCTGGTCGTCGACCCTTCAGCTCACCTGACGCACGCGTCGGCGGCGGGCCGGCGCACGCGAGCTCACTCACTGTCATTTACCGAGCCAATACGTGTCCATTTGGACAGTGGCCCCGGGCAGGAGCCAATGATCCAACAACTGTCTGCCGCGGTCGCCGCGCCGCCGGCGGCAGCGTGCACGCGACGACGAGCCCTGATTTGAGTGACTCTGACACTTCAAAGACGGCGAAATGTCAAGGAAATTAAATTGCGTGTAATATCGCAATTTATTTAATATAAGCTGTGTGGAGTGCAATCAATGTAAGTTAATTAGAACGGAAGGAAGCCAACTTAGAATCGACGTAAGTCTATTAACACTGATTTCAGCCCCACAAACGTATGTTTATATCAAGATAAGACATAATTCATTTATTATTCAGAGTTAGATGTGACGACTAGCTTGTTCAAAACTTTTCAGTTTCCTAGAGACAATGCTAAACCCGCTTATGAAGTCTTAGAAGTCGGACATAGCCGTTCTCAAGTACCCGATATATTTATCACAAGCCTTACCATTGATCGAACTTTCACCTGAATTTGCATCTCAGATGCCGGCTTCGTTGAATCCCAATCATCCAGTTCAGTCTCTCCAATGTCCCACCCTGCCGACAGATCACCAGTTTTACCACAAGTGGGCGCTGCTGACGGACCCCGATGACCCGTGTGGCGGCCCCAAGGGCTACCTCAAGTGCGACATCAGCGTCATCGGCAAGGGCGACACGGTCAAGGCGCCCACCCGCACCGACAGGGATGAGGACGACATTGAGGCGTGAGTGGCGCGCTGGGGGCGTGAGTGGTGCGCTATACAATACAATACAATACAATACATTTATTTTTCAAGAATAGAAGCAGAACACAGGATACAAACGCATAATCAGATTGGTGCAAAAGAATAAAATTCTTTAATTAAAGCACCTCTCTGCAGAAACGATAGCCAATACTTAACATGAATGCAACATAAACAACGATATAAAATGACACTTTACAATGTCAAACGCTGGGGGCGTGAGTGGCACGCTGGGGACGTGAGTGGCGCGACGGAGGCATGGGTGGTGCGCTAAGGGCGAAAGAGGCGCGCTTGGAACATGAGTGGTGAGATAGAGGCGTGAGTGGCGCGCGGGGGGCGTGAGTGGCGCGCTGCAGACGCGGCCAGCGGCTAATGTCTCAAAATTGAGTGGCTTTGCATGCCACAAATCAGGGCTCTAAAGAGCCACAAATAATTGTAAACGGAAGGGACCCAAGACATGCATGATTTAATCATCAATCCAGAACACAAAATGAAAGTCATCTGTAGCCAGTATTTCATCGAGAATGAAATATGGGGATGTCTTAGTAACTTGGCATACATCTATAAAACTTAGCGTTTGATGTTGGCTATAGAAGCCTGTTTGGTACCCTGCGAAAGATCTGGTTTCAACACTTGTTATAACGTACTGAATATTTGTTTTGCGTTGCTTTGATGTTGCGCCTGTCGAAGGCAGCACAGCCAAGTCTGTCAAACACAATTTGAATTTGTTTCCAATCAGTTTCCATTCAGCACCATATGCGTTCACCACTCAGCTGTATGCTATGCCTACTACAAATAACCCGGAATGATGTGTAATAAAGTGGCTACATATATTGACGTCTCGGTAATTTGCGCTCAGTGCTACCAAAATAAACCAGCCATTGCCAGGCATTTGCGTGACGAATGCCATTCTGCTGCGTGGCTCCTACGTCATCCCTGCAACGAGCGTCATCACTCGTCACCAAACTACGCGCCTTCCACTGCGATGTATTCGCCACGTTTCGGACGTAATTACATATATCAGACAGGCAAAATAGCTATTGTGTTCCGCGGCCGGCTGCCTTCGCGGAGTGGCAATGTCGGGCTTGCACGCCTCATCGACCAGCCAATTAGTCGGGCGTTATTCGTGCCATGTGTGTAGCGGGAAAACGCGCAGTGTGCCAAGATACCTATAAGAAACAGGTAGATCCGATGTTTGAAAGTAAAGCCCCAGTCACAAATTTGACGCACCTGTGACATTTCCTGACACCCACGTGACTATTGTATTAACTTTTGTGTTTTGCGATGTTTTGACCTTATTTAAAGTACTGAAAGCTCAAAATGTATGATTAATGTTGTTTAAAGGAAATAGTTCACTTTCACGAAATTATTTTTTTGCAATGGATTTGTGATTTTTTATGTTCAAAATGATCAGCAAAGAAAATAAAACCTTTTTACAGCAAAAGATTATTTTCTATATTTTTGATATAGGAAGAACTTTTCAGTTTCTGTAAGGCACCGCGATCCAGTATGAAAAGAGCATGGGTCCCGAAAATTCTTCAGAAACTAGAGAAATTATCGCGGCCACCGGCATTTGGGCGATCTGCTCGTGCTTTTGTTACTGGAGCGCCCATAGCGCCTCACTGGAGCGAATTTCTCTAGAGTTCTCGTAGATAATTTCTCTAGTTTCTGAAGAATTTTCGGGACCCATGCTCGTTTCATACTGGATGCGAATATATGCAAGGCACACATCCTCAACGCAAGACACATTTTTCGGGACGAGAAATAGAATATCTTTGCCTAGGGTGATCGTTGGGCTGTAAAAGCTCCTGATTTATGCTCGTCTCAGCCCAAGCTACGGAACTGCTATTCCAGTTCAAAACCCATGTTAAAATGTGAACTATTTCCTTTAAAGCAGCATATTAATAATTATGTTTGTAAATTATCGATAAGCTGCTTATGGCAGGTCACGTGATTGCTACCAGATTATGTGCTCAGAAAGCATCTTTTCAACTTCGATTTTGAACAATTTTTACCTCCTTTGAGGCCAAATGATGGACAGTTTGAGGCACACGATGAAATGCTGAATCTATTGATGCCAAAATTTGCTCGTTTTTTGCATTTTTAGACTACTATATCCTGGCTCAAACTTTGACCAGTTTGTGT